CAAGGGGACAAAGGGTAAAGAGTGTGGTCATGGATGGAGGCTAAATTTTTGGTGGCAAGCCTGCTGCAGGGTGTAAGGAGTAGAAATATAATGTACACATGAAACTTACATAAAAATTAAAGTGCTTTGAATTAAAAAGGACACAGACATTTTGTTTCTGAAAGCTCTTTTGAAGGCCTGGAATAAAATAGCACACGCATACACACAGGACACTAACAGGACATGCCAGAGACACTGACAAATGTAGCAAACTTGTGCTGTGAAAAGGGAGACGACCTCTGTCCCATCAGAGAAAACCTTGTAAAATACCTGTTTTCAGGTAAATTGCTCAGACCTATGGAAACCTAAAGAATCTGCCTGCAGTGCAGGAGACCCGGGTTCAATCCCTGGGTTGAGACAATCCCCTGAAGAAGAAAATGGCAATCCACTCCAGTATCCTTGCCTAGAAAATCCCATGGACAGAGGAGCCTGGGTCGCAAAGAGTGGGACATGACTGAGTGACTAACACACACTTATGGAATCCTGGGCTTCCCAGGTGGCTCAGTGGTAAAGGATCCTCCTGCAATGCAGGAGACTTAGGTTCAGCTCCTGGGTTGGGTAGATCCCCTGGAGAAGGAAATGACAACCCACTCCAGTATTCTTGCCTGGAGAATCCCATGGACAGAGGAGCCTGGCGGGCTGCAGTCCATGGGGCCCCAAAATAGTCAAACACGACTAGCACACAGCCCACAGGTAGAATCTCCTCATCTTGTGGCACTTGAGTCCCCTCTGGTTTTACTCCCAGTCTCCTGAGGCCCTGGCCCTTCTTCTACTCTTGTCAAGCTCAGTCAATACTGAGAGAACTTCTGGTATGATGAGTAACAGGAAACGTTGTCTTTAGGGTTTGGTGTTCCAGTCCGTCCTAAATTGAGCCCCCCATCACTCACCAGATTATATCCCAGAACTGGTTTAATGATGATAACATTATTCATTTGACAATAAGCAATTGAATGTTATTTTCTGCCCTGCCCCACAAAGGGTCAAGTGGTATTTTACATTTGAAGCGATTATTGTTGTGATCACAGGACTGGCTGGCCTTAGGAAGGTGATATTCTAGGAAGAGTGTCAGAGGCTCCTGGACACTTTGTTACAGAACCCACAGCTGTAAGCCAGATTGGAATTTTTAATGCATCCCCTCACCTTTCTATTTGCTTTTTGGAAGTTAAAATAGTACTGTCTTTGAGCATCTTTTCCTCGTTTGGTTAGGACATTCCGAAAGCAGGTTTCCATAGTGTTGAAGGCTGACTCATTGATTGTTTTGATTATTTTGAGTCTTTGGCTTAGAAAATGTAGTGGGAAAAATCACAGGAACAAAAGTTGTAGCTTTATTTTTCTACAATTAATTTTTATCCAGAACCCTATTTCCCTCACTCCAGTATGCTGGCCTGGAGAATTGCATGAACTATATAGTCCGTGGGGTTGCAAAGAGTCAGACATGACTGAGCGACTTTCACTTTCAGTTTTCTATTTCCCTCAAATGGCAGAAACCCCATGTTAGGTAAATTACAGGTTGAACGTGGGCAGTTTCATGATCTAGCAGCCATTCTGTGCTTGTTGTTGTTCAGTTGCCAAGTTGTATCCAACTCTTCGCGACCCCATGGACTGCAGCACGCCAAGCTTCCCTGTCCATCACCGTCTCCCAGAGTTTGCTCAAACTCATGTCCATGGAGTCACTGGTGCCATCCAACCATCATCCTCTGTCGCCCCCCTTCTCCTCCTGCCTCCAATCTTTCCCAGCATCAGGGTATTTTCCAGTGAGTCAGCTCTTCACATCAAGCGGCTGGAGTATTGGAGCTTCAACTTCAGCATCAGTCCTTCCAATAGCATATTCAGGGTTGGTTTTCTTTAGGATTGACTAGTTTGGTCTCCTTGCAGTCCAAGGGACTCTCAAGATTCTTCTCCAGTACCACAATTTGAAAGCATCAATTTTTTGGTGTTCAGCCTTCTTTATGGCCCAGCTCTCACATGTATACATGACTACTGGGAAAAATCATAGCTTTGACTATATGGACCTTTGTTGGCGAAGTGGTGTCTCTGGTTTTTAATATGCTGTCTAGGTTTTTTGGAATCAGGGTTTTCCCCATTCCCTTGATGGCATCTCATTTTGGGGGCTGCTGGGCCCGTGGGGGCTTACAGAGTCTGGTGGGTTACAAGAGTGACCCAATTTTCCCTCTCCCTGTATCAGGAGTGCCCTTGCACTCTGACTTCAACCTTGAATGTGTGACTTGCTTTGACCAATGAGATGTTGCAAATGAGAAGCAATTAGAGGCTCCAAAAGCGCTTGCACGATTAGACTCTCTCGATCTTTCCCTCTGCCACTAGGAGAGGCCGTCCTTGTCAGTGGACCCCAGGGATGGATGAGAGACGCGTGGAGCAGACCTGGCTCAGTCTGGAGTGGTCCAGGCTGTCCTAGATCCAGCAGCCCCAGAAAGGAGAGCGAGCCCGGCCACAGCTGCTGCAGGCCCATGAGAGGGCCGTTTCAGGTGAGCTGAACACCACGCGCTCCTGAGCCGTACACCACCCAGGCTTGTGTTGTTTGTTATGTTGCATTTAGTGGCTATGAATGAATGGTCACATGAGGTCGTATTTAGAGGAAGCATCTCCCCCGCTTGCAGTCGCATTTGCAGATATAGGACATCTTCCTGTCGTGTTTCACTATTGACGTCCTTTCCTAATGAGATCCCCTGGCCAGAACCATCCACCATTGGGGTCCACCAGGGTGGCCACAGTTCTACATGGCCTCAGGCTTGCAGGGGTCCCTGGGATGCCTGTGGCCTTGCCTTCCGGGGCACCAGGAGGGCAACCCCCCTCCACTGGGGCTAGAAGAGACTCAGGATGTCAACCAGCCTCTCTCCTGCTGCCCCCAGAAAGCACCTTGACTCTCCTTGCCTAGTCCTTGGCGGCCTGGGTTCTGTCTGTGCGCCAGGATGGCCCGCAGGCCCAAGCCCTCTGTCCTCCGATTCCAAAATCCTGCCTTAGTGACCTGGTCCCTTCCTCAATCCTGTCTGGTGTCCCTATAGTCCTCCCTGCCCCTTCTCCCTGGACACCAGTCCCCTTCTAGGGCATCCCTACACCTAAGCCCCCTCCCCCCAGGCTGGGCTATCTTCAAAGGGAGGGAGGTGTGGTCCTCTGACTTCCAGTGTGGTGTTTATTTTTTATTTTTAAAGTTTTTAAAAAATTAATTTATGTTTGACTGTGCTGGGTCTTCGCTGCTGCCAGGGGGCTTTCTCTCGTTGCAGCGAGCAGTGGCTGCTCTCAGCCGTGGGGCGCTGGCTTCTCATTGTGGAGGACCGCAGGCTCTAGGGCCACAGGCTTCAGTAGTTGCAGCTCCTGGGCCCTAGAGCACAGGCTCAGTAGTTGTGGTTCGTGGGCTTCGTTGTCCCACATCATGTGGGATCTTCCCGGACCAGGGATCAAACGTGTGTCTCCTGCGTTGGCAGGCAGATGCTTTACCACCAGGGAAGCCACAGTGTGGTCTTTAGGGCAGTGCTTCTGACTGGATCCCTTCAAAGCTTAGTCTCTTGACTGCCGAACACCCAGCACTTGCTTTCAAGATGGTTGTCCCTGAGATGGGATTTGACAATTGGTTTTAATCTGAAAAACCAAGAACTTGGCCCCTCTGCCTGCCAGAGGGTTCTTTTTATTTTCTGGGCGGCGTGTGCTGCTGAGCTTGTTGGAACAGGCTGGTAACTTGACCCAACAAGGAAAAACATGAAGGAAATATATACATATAATATAAATATATATAAAATCCAAGGTGATTGGTCGATCGGAGCTTGGGGCAGTCAGTGAAGACTCTGGGTGGGGAATGAGGAGAGGTCGTTGGGCGGGGCTGGCAGGGCACTGATTTCCCATCTCAGGGCCATTGCTGCCCTCTGGCCTCAGTCACTTAGCCTCTCACCTCCTTAGCTTCCTCCTCTGGAACACAGGGTGGGACCAGGTGGTTGTTTGGGTCTGTTCCAGCTTAGAAGTCCCATGACGCTAGGATTCACACTAAGGACAGCGAAGGCCAGAAGCCAGATTTCTGATCTCTCTGAACTGATCCCCTCTCCTTTAAGCTGGCCGCTTTCTTTATGGTTCCTAAGTCTGATCAGTTCTGTAATTATAGTGCAGTAGGTTGACCCTGGACCTTGGGTGCAGCTGGACCCCATGTAAATATTAGAGTGTAACAGGAAAAGGATCACAGACTTTGACCAATCCAGGGCTTACGTTAGATGTTCAACTGAAGATAACAATTTCCCAACTGACAGTGGTTTCCACCATCCGGACATTTGCTGCTCACTCAACAAGAAGTCTGGAGGCAGGAGATCCTGAGTGGTTGGACAGCCCAGCCGTATCATCCTGGCCCTGGACACGTGCCAGCTTCCAGTGCATCCTGAGCTAGTTGGCTTTATCCTTTTCACCTCTTGCATCCAAAAAGGCTGCCCCAGGCAGACACCTTACCCTCTCACAACATGTCCACAGGCAGGCAGGAGAGGTGGAGGATGCCAAGGGGACCTGCCCTTTTACTGTTCTCTCCTTTCTATCAGGGAGGAAAAGTCTTGACCGGAAGTTCCTGCTCCTACCACTTTCTTTTCCATCTCATTGGCCACAGTAGGTCCTGTGCTTACCCTGTCCCAACAGTGACAAAGGGGAACAGAATGCCTGTGACTGGCCAAGACCTGTCAAGAGTGCATCTCCCAGGCTGGCCAGTTGCCATAAGAATCAGGTACCATTAGCCCAGAAAAAGGGGCTGGCCACTCACAGGGTCTGTCCCCCCTGGTTTTTAAATTTGGGCTTCATTTAATTGTGTGATCCTGAGCAAATCACTCAGCTTCCCTGAGCCGCCTTGTCAGCACCTGAAAATCACAGATAACCCCACTGACTTCACAGGCTGTGGGAAGCATGCGTCAGGCCACGCAGGAACGGCCCCAGGACATTTGAACATCCCCTGCACGTGCCAGCACTCGGGCAGCGGTCACCTTGGCCTTCCTAGCAGCACTCTGGACAACAGCCAGCGAGGGCAGCTTTGCTGAGCTGTCGGTTCCCAGGTTCCAATTTCCAGAAACTCCATTTCCAGGACGAGACGCACACGAACGCTTGCCAAGGCCAACACGTTTGGCTCTGTGTTTACTGCTGCGACACCTGCTGCTCAGACGGGCCCTGTGCCGTTTTGTACATGTTGGTTTTGGACAGCGGCTGCTGCACATTGTGTCTTCAGATTTCTTAGGGGGCAGATTTAGCATCTGGCAGCACGGCCTCCGACTGCGAGGTGTCTCAAGCAAGCGCTGTCGCTGGCCGCGAGCTGGGCTTGGACCTGCGTGAGGGGACAGAAGGGCATCTGCTCAGAAAGGCGTATCTGCCCCGCTGTCCACACTCCCGCAGGGTCACTAACAGCCTCTCCAAACACAAACATCAGGCAGAACTCCAGCACTTTTGTTCCCTCACTGCCCACAGCCCAGCCCATCAGCTCTCTAAGGCCCACCCCCTTCCCACATCTCCCCTTCTACATCCCCAGGCCAGCCCAGCCTCCTGGGTGCCCCCCCTGCAGACCCCCCAGGACCCTGGTCCCTCTTGCAGCCTCCATTGCAGGTACAGGCGGTCCCCGACTTAGGGTGGTTGAACTGAGGATTTTTCAAGTTTATGATAGTGTGAAGGTGATGCATGCTCAGTAGAGACCGAACTTTGAATTTTGAGTTTGGATCTCTTCCCAGGGGTCTGGGGTATGCGGGACCATCTCTTGTGATGCTGGGTGGCGGCAGCAAGTGCAGCCCCCGTGGAACTGGCTTCACAGGCACCACATCAGAGTTCCCCTTGCTTCCTCCTCTGTGGTCGCCGTCTGGAAATTCTGAGTACTTTGTGAACGAGGCCCACGTCTTCATTCTGCACTGGCCCCTGCAAATCACGTCCAATCCTCACATCCTCCTGCTGCTCTCCAGCCCTCCTGGTCCTGGTAACACCCGCGCTGCCTCTTCCTTCCCTGGGGGCCGTGGCAGTTTCCCCAGCTCTGGGCCGGGCCTCTGCCTTCTCAGAGGGACCCCCCCACACCCCACCCGCCTGCTCATTTTCCACCACCGCCTGTCCCCGCTCCCGATACACTCCAGGGTCCGCAGAGTTCAGATGGCGCCTGGTACAGAGCGAGCACTCCATGCACACGTGCTGAGCCAGTGATGGAAGAGCACAAAGCAGCTGTCAGTCCCAGAACTTAGATTCCGTTTGCAGCCTGAGCATGGTGGCCGTGGTGGCCGTGGGAGTTAGAAAGTGCTGCTCGCAGAAAGAGTCAACTGCTCTGTGGCTTTGATTTGGACCGGGGGTCATCTGAAGGAGAGCACGCGGGCGCAGCCGTCCCCTTGGTGGGCCCAGCACTGGCTTCTGCGGAGACGCGATTAATTGACTATTCTGCAGTCAGTGAAGGGCTCTGATGATTTAATAAAATTAGGAACTGAAATAAGGGACTGTGCCTGGTAGAAGAGCACCTTAAACACACACACAAACACACACCTGCACACACATGCCCCTTCACACACACACAGTTACAAACTTACACACTACACACACATACACCCCTACACACACACACACCTGCACACACATGCCCCTTCACACACACAGTTACATACCTACACACACACACTACACACTCACACACCCCTACGCACACATGCACCCCTACACACACACACCTGCACACACATGCCCCTTCACACACACAGTTACATACCTACACACACACACTACACACTCACACACCCCTACACACACACACCTACACAGATACACAGACACACCTACAGGTCCACACATATACATAGAGAGATACATATCTACACGTATAGACCCGTACATATACACACATACCCATATATGCATATGGATGCACACATCCATATATATACACACATACCCTTATACACACACCCACAGCTACACATGTGTACACATACACACACAAGACCTGTATCCATACATATATACACATATACATATGTATACAGAGACACATACATCTACACATGCAGACCGTACACATACACACATACCCATATGTGCATATACATACACACACCCATACATATACTCACATACCCTCATACATACACACATAACCTGTATCCATACATATATATACACACCCACACATGTACACATATACCCTCACACACACATGTACACACATACACGCACACACGTAACCTGTGTTCATACATATATACACACACCCACACATGTACACACATACATGCACACACACAACCTGTATCCATATATATACACACACATATACCCTTATACACCCACACCCACACATATACACACATACATGCACACACACAACCTGTATCCATACACACACACACCCTTATACATACACACCCACACATGTATGCATATACCTCACACACACGTACACACATACACGCACACGTAACCTGTGTTCATACATATATACACACACCCACACATATACCCTTATACATACACACACATACATGCACACACACAACCTGTATCCATACCCTCACACACACATGTATACACATACACGCACACACATAACCTGTGTTCATACATATATACACACACCCACACATATACCATTATACACACACACCTGTACACACACAACCTATATCCATACACACCCACACATGTACACACATACATGCACACACACAACCTGTATCCATACACACACACACATGTACGCATATACCCTCACACACATGTACACACATACATGCACACACACAACCTGTATCCATCCATACACACACACGGAGTATAAGGCAGTGTTCCTCTCAGCAGCTGCGAGGTTCTGCAGGCAGCTGGGAGAGGTTTCAGCCCCCAACTCCGAGGGGCTCCCAGGGCAGTGGTGGGCGCCCGGGTGGGTGCGCCCTCCTCCCCAGACCCGCAGTCCCCAGGCTCAGAGGGAGGCGGTGAATACGGCCGGCCCGGGCCTGCCTGCTCACCCCAAGTGGCCTAAGAGACACCTTGAAGTCCTGGGTGAGCTGCAGCGCCCAGCTCAGGGTTCCATCTCTTCTAGAAAAAGGTCTGGAACTGATTCTTGATTTGAGACAATGAAAAGTCACTGTCTCCTCTGAGGAGGCCTGGCCCTGGCCCTGGCCCCAGACACTCTGAGCTAAGGGTGACCCGAGGCCGCGCAGTCCTCTGCCATCGCCTGTCCTCCCACGGGGTGCGGTGAGTGCTCAATGGCAGGAAAGCACAGTCCTGCACAAGGCAGGCGCTCCATGGACGTTCAAGGCAGGCAGTGGCCGCCTGGCAGCCGTGCTGGTTGTGAGCACAGAACACATGCAACTGGTTTAGGCCGGGAGGGTGGACAGAGGTATGAACACAGAAACAGCAAGAGGCTGCAGAAACAGACGCAGGCTGGTCTTCTAGGATCGGCGCCTCAAAGCCCACCATGCCTTGCTGTGGGGAACCTGCCTCCATGATGGCCCCTCTCCCCCACCCAGCAGTCATCACCTGAAACCAGGTGCGTTTGCCTCTTGGGCGCCAGCAAAATTGAAGCCCTCACCCACCCTACTGAGCCAGCTCCCACACATCACTCGGCTCTGAGCCGAGGCCCTGCCCGGTCCGGTCTGATGGATGAAGCCTGCATCCAGGTGCAAGGGGGAGCCGGGAACCCGTCTTGACTTCTGCGTGGAGCAGTCAGGACTGCCAGCATGGGGTCTCCTCAGGACAGAAGGAAAGGTGAGGGGTGGCTTCGGCTGGGACATCTGTACACTGCAGGGAACCTTGGCACAGGGATGAATGAATGAGTACATAAATAAATGGAGGCTTCGAAAAGTTCCTAACAGAAGCCAAGGCCTTGGTTTCCCTGTCTGAGGTCCATTTGGCATCGGTCTTTGTGACAGTGGTAGCGTGGTCCCCCCTGGGGGGAGAGTGTGGCGGCCCTGGGGGACGGGTTATGGGGTGTGTGTGAAAGCAGGCACGGCTGCAGGCGGAGAGCCTCTGGGACCTGGAGGGTGGAGGTGCAGTCATCAAGGACAGACATCCTGAACCAGGCTTTGCCTCAGATATGCAGAGGACACCACCCTAACGGTAGAAAAGGAAGAGGAGCTAAAGAGCCTCTTGAGGAAGGTGGAAGAGGAGAGTGAAAAGCTGGTTTAAAACTCAACATTCAAAAACTAAGATCATGGCATCCCGTCCCATCACTTCATGGCAAATAGATGGGGAAACAATGGAAACAGTGACAGACTTTATTTTCTTGGGCTCCAAAATCACTGCAGATGGTGACAGCAGCCATAAAAGACGCTTGCTCCTTGGAAGAAAAGCTTTGACAAACCCAGACAGTATATGAAGCAGAGACATCACGGCCAACAGAGGTCCATATAGTCAAAGCTGTGGTTTTTCCAGTGGTCATGTATGGATGTGAGAATCGAACCATAAAGAAAGCTGAGGGCCGAAGAACTGATGCTTTCAAACTGTGGTGTTGGAGAAGACTCAAGAGTCCCTTGGACAACAAGGAGATCCAACTAGTCAATCCTAAAGGAACTCAACCCTGATTATTCATTGGAAGGACTGATGCTTGAAACTGAAGCTCCAATACTTTGGCCACCTGATGCGAAGAGCCGATTCATTGGAAAAGACCCTGGTGCTGGGAAAGATTGAGGGCAGGAGGAGAAGGGGGCAACCGAGGATGAGATGGTTGGATGGCATCATCAACTCAACGGACATGAGTCTGAGCAGACTGCAGGAGATGGTGAAGGACGGGGAAGCCCGGCGTGCTGCAGTCCGTGGGGTCGCAAAGCGTCAGACACAACTGAGCGACTGAGCAACAGTAAGAGCAGCGCTTCGGATGTCGCTCTAAGTACAGCGGCGCACCGTCCCCAACACTGTTAGGCCAGTGCCTGAGTGCTGCCCGGGGAGACAGTGGAAAATGGTCACGTGGCGATCTGACTTGTGCCTGGTGCTGAACCACACGCTGAAACCTCTGATCTCTAAATATACTGACCTGATGAGGAAGGCTTATTACCATCCCCGCAGGTGAGGACTGAGGCAGAGAGGCCAAGTCGGGCACACCGCCAGGGAGGAGGCGCCCAGATTCGCTCTCAGGCCCCGCTGTCACTTTCCAGCTGTGGACGTGAGTTCCCACAGACTCACTCCCCGCTCAGCCACATGTGCTACCGAAGACCGCAGCGGCCAGTGACTTATTAAGTCCAGCGTGATGAGACTAGGTCTGTAGAGGACATGGTTGTCCTCCGGAGGATGGGGTACCCCTCGGGAGCCCAGGGGGCTTCCCTGGTAGCTCAGCTGGTAAAGAACCCGCCTGCAATGCAGGAGAGCCCGGTTTGATCCCTGGGTCGGGAAGATCCCCTGGAGAAGGGCTCGGCTACCCACCCCAGTATTCTTGGGCTTCCCTGCTGGCTCAGCTGGTAAAGAATCTGTCTGCAATGCTGGAGACCTGGGTTCGATCCCTGGGTTGGCAAGATCCCCTGGAGAAGGGAAAGGCTACCCACTCCAGTATTCTGTCCTGGAGAATTCCGTGGACTGTAATAATCCATGGAGTTGCAAAAAGTTAGACACAACTGAATGACTTTGACTCACTCAGGGAGCCCAGAGGCCTCCCCCAGGCTTTGGAGGGAGGGGGGCTCCTGCAGCCCAACTGTCTGAAGAACAGGGTGGACCCCTCGCGTGTCTGCAGAACCCATGCAAACAGGAAGCTGCCTCCAAGCCGACCCAACAGCCGGAGGTCCATAGGCTGGACACAGAAACTGCAAGTTTCCTTTGACCACAGGGCAGGTCTCGCGAGAGCGGGCACAACCACAACTGCAGGTTCTGAAGAAGAAAGCCTGTGCTTGAAGACTGTTCTAGCTCACAGCTGGAACCCCCGCTTGCCTGGTGAACTTGGTCACCTCCCAACAGGAGCTCAGGGTGTGACGTGTGGCAGGCTGGTGTGCATCCGTGCATGCACACTTCGACTTGTTTTTAGAAAAGAACTGTGGCAGGATATAAGAAAGCAAACATCAGCATTTCATCTAGATATGGAAAAGACCCAGAAAAATGATTAAAAAAAAAATCAAGACAAGAATGAAATTAGAATGTGAAGTTGCAAGGGGTTAGTGGGGGTGAGCGGGCTTCGGGGCCGCAGGCGGTCTGCCGATGGGGTGCTGAGATTCCTCGGGGCGGAGGGGGAAGGGGCCCCTTGCTGCCTCCTGACCCGCACGTGCTGTGTAGACTCCCTGCTTCCGCCGCCGCCGTCTTTCTAGGTCAGGAGTACTGCTTCCAGGCTGCTCTCCTGGGGAGCCTCCCTCCTGCTGTCTCCCTTCCTGCCCTCGCTTCCTTGCCCTTCTCCGCGTTTATTTACAGTCGCCTTCTCTTTCTGAGGCTGCCGGGGCTGCGCAAATAGGCCAGGCCCCAGCCCTCCCCGACCTCAACCCCAGCCGCCCCAGTTGGGCCCCGGGTGGGCAGCCGGGCGTGGAGGCTGGTGTGGAAGGAGGCCTAGGGCGAGCCGAGCACCGGCCGCTCCTCCGGAGCTCGGGGACCGCTCTGACCTCCCTCCTCCTCCTGGCTCGTTTATAATCAGCTTTTCCATTATCTTGCAGCAAAGCCCTCTCTGAGTCCCATTAATTGCCTGTAACTGCAGCTGGGTGGTTCATTTACTCTTTCTAATTTGGAGGATGCGAGTGGTTTAACCCTTGTTTTTTATTTTAAAAGCTTCAGGGGTTTTGTAAACTTTGGAGGCACTAAGGCCAGAGTGGCCAGACACGTGCTCACACAAGTCTAAGCACACATACCGTGGTGCACACCACTGCACACGCAGGGCAGACTTCTGGGGTGAGGAGTAGGGGCGGCAGGTAATATGATCTGAGAGACTGGAAGTAAGGGCAGCACCCATCCCTCCAACCCAAGGACACTAACATCACCACCTCCATGGCCTCCACCATCAAAACCAGTACCACCTTCACCTCCAGTGTAGCTACGGTCACCACTGTCCCCATCACCTCCACCATCACTACCACCCCCTCACCCAGAGGCCTAAAATTCCACCATCGCAGCTTTATTCCCATGGCTTAATTATTTGCTTTCTTCAGCCATTCTCTTTGAATTATGTTAGTGTGAAATAACAAGGCCCAGACCTGCTTTTCTCAGTGACTGAATGTCCTCAGGAGTAAAAGCCAGCTGCCAAGGGGAGGGCACTAAAAACATCGGCTGGCCAAGAGTTTTGTTCGGGTTTTTCCAAACCATGAGAAATCGGAAGAAACCTCTTGGCCAAAACGATAAGGTTGGAAAATGAGTGTGCATGGGCGTGTGTGTGTGTGCATGCACGCACATGCATAAACATGTCTTATCAGTTAAATTTGAAAAAAGAAAGCCTGCTGAGCCCTCTGGGACAGTGTCAAAGCTTTTATTGTTCATGTTTCCATCTTAACAGAGCAAATCATGTTTCTTAGGGAGCAGGTTTTTAAAAACTGATTGATTGTGAAGGTAAGTGGTTCTCAGACCTTATCAAGCAAGAGACCACCCAGAGGGCTTGTTCAGATGTAGACTCTGAGTCTCCCAGCCAGCAGGCTGGGGTGCAGCTCGGTTATGGGTACTTCTCACCGGTTTCCAGTGATGCCGCGGCCGCTGTGGTTCAAGAACTACACTTGAGACTCAGTCCAGTAGGTGAAAAGGCATGTGCACGCACACACACCACACACATGCGTGTACACCACACACACACACAAACACTTGCGGAATGCATCAGCCCTTTCTATGTAGAAAGTCCTGCCCTGTGCAGGGCTTGAAGAATGTGAATAAAACTAAAATATGATGGAGAGCTGAAGACGCACCAAGGTCATTTGACCAGCTGAGAAAAGTAGTGTTGTGATGTGATCGGCCTAGAGATGTGGATGGGGGGGCGGGGGGCACGTACATAGGAAATACTAAATTTCAAGGTAAAAGAAACATCACCTGCCCTAGGTGGGGGGCGGCGGGGGTGCCGGCCCAGCAATTCAAGAACAGCTGAAACAGGGAGGTCAAAGGTGACTGAGATGACCTTGAAGCAGGGCAGAGAGGCCCAGGGACAAAGAGGCGGCCTGGCTCCAGGACAGGGGGCTGTGAGGGGCTGAGGAGCTCGAGGGGCAGTGGGGGTGCGGTGGTACAGCCCGCACCTGTCTCCAGACACAACCAAGACCCCCGGGAAGGAGGCCGCCCGCTGAAGCCAGGGGAGGCCAGGACCCGAGTCAGCAGCCTGCTTGCTGCCCACCAGCTCTGGCTGAGGCCCCCGCAGTCCTAGCAGCCTCGTCTGCAAGATGCCGATCATCACACGTGCTTGGCGGGATCACTGGGAGGATTTCGTGAGAGTCTACGTGCCAAGTACTCTGTAACAGAAGTGCAGATCCTATGTCCAGCTCCAAGAAAGAAGGGACCGCTTACAGCTTGATGTCATGTTTGTTCCTTGTCTCAGACCTGAGACCTGTTTTTAAAAAGAAGTGAACAGATAAGTTTGGATGAAGTCTGGGGAGGACTGGGGTCAGGGTGAAGCAGCAGCTACTGCCCTCACCCGTCATGGCCCCTCTGGCCTCTTGGTGTCCAGAACGCTGCCTTCTGACATGTTAGTTGGAAGGATTTTCCATTTTCCAGAGTCTCTGCTAATGCAGCTATCCCTGGGAGTGGCCCCCTTGATGCCCTGAAACCCCGGGTGGTATCTCCTGGGCCTGCTCCCTCCCAGAGCCCTCGCAGATCTGGGCTGGCTGGCAAGCCTCACCCTGCGGACTGCAGGTACAGATTCAGCTGTTCTTCTGATTCTCCAGACATCCAGGGAGAAAGAAGCAGCCAGAAAATACAGGCTGAAAATTGACCTCGACCTCAGCATTCAACGGGCAAGTAAGCCCATTTGAAGCCAACCCTAAGAATTCCAGACCCCAAATATGGGCTTTTCCCAAGAAGACATTCAAAGATCTCACGATTTCTTGCATCAGCTCCTCCCCTGCCCCACGCCATCACACCCTGACATTAACCTGGGCGGCTGGGTGTGGGTCCAAGCATGTGGCCCGAGGGCTCTCTTAACTAATGTGTGGGGGATGCTCCTGGGGAGCATTTGAATGTCTCGGTGCCCACACGACCCCCAGACCAACTGCATCAGGGTTTGGGGGGTGACCTGGCCAACAACACATTCAGATGCCCCAGTGACTGCACGAGTAGTCAAGTCTGAGAGCCCACGGCCTGATCTGCTTTAGGCCGAGAGAAACCTGGGTCAAAGTGCTCCTCCCCTCCTGCCGTGGGGCTTCAGGTGAGTCACCTGGAGTCAGAGCCTATGTGTCCTCACCTGCGAGGCGGGTAAGTCCTCTGTCCCTGGCTCGAGAGGGATGCAGTGAAAGAGCCCGAGATGGGTGGGGCCTGGCAGGGAGAAGCTGCCCTCCGTAAGTTTAGAAACCAAGGCACCAGGCTGTGGGCACAGCTCAGAGGGGGCCGCATCCCACCTGGAAAATGAGGTGGTCAGATTAGACATCATTTTGATGACAAAGGTCCGTCTCGTCAAAATGATGGTTCATCTAGCAGTCGTGTACGGATGTGAGAGCTGGACCATACAGAAGGCTGAGCGCCTTTGAACTGTGGTGCTGGAGAAGACTCTTACGAGTCCGTTGGACAGCAAGGAGATCAGTCCTGAATATTCATTGGAAGGACTGAGGCTGAAGCTCCAATTTGGCCACCTGATGCAAAGAGCCGACTCATTGGAAAAGACCCTGATGCTGGGAAAGATTGAGGGCAGGAGGAGAAGGGGGCAACAGAGGACTAGATGGTTGGATGTCTGATTCAGTGGACATGAACTTGGGCAAACTCCAGGAGCTAGTAAGGGACAGGGAGACCTGGTGTGCCACCGTCCATAGATTCACCCAGAGTCGGACACGACCTAGTGGCTGAACGATGACAGGCTCCCTGGGGCTCTAATGCCCTGAGAATCTGCAGTCAGAAGGGGTGAATTGCAGGTGGCCCCCGATCACCTTGAAAGTGAATTCCTCCCATCAGCTCGGGAAACATCTGAATCCCTGACAGTGGGAAAAACAGGGCCTGCCAGCTACCAAGTTAGCTCCCACCCCACCCCACCTCTGCACCGTCCCCTCACTCAGCAGACTTGCCGTTCAGCCTTTCTTTGTCACCAGCCCTTTCATGTCCTGGCTGAACGGACAGGCCGAGCACTGACCAGTCACGGCCGTGGCCCCTCAGGTGGGGCTGCAGGCCAGTCACGGCCGCCAGGCTCCTGGGCCCCGAGGAGGGTGTTGAGGGCCGGGAGCAGGAGTCCAGGGCTTGGTCCTGGTGGCCTCGGGGGTGGCTAACCCTTCCCGTCTGGGTCCGTCCCGTGCACGCAGGCTGCTCACCTGCATCTCTGGCCTCTGTCCCCTAGGTGCCAGTAGCGGCTCCCAAGTCAGGGCAGAGGTGTCTCCAGACATTGCCAAAGGTCCCTGGGGTCAGGATCGCCTCCGCCTCCCCCCCGCCCCACCACGTGGAAAACCACTGTTCTAGAGGCCCAGCCTTCCAGCCTGGGTGCAGAAAGGAGAATGGTGGTTTTCTCGTGTGTGGATACGGATTCATTTTGTTTCTCCAACTTAGTCACAGGAGAGAGAAGGGCAGAAGCGTTTCTACTCAAAGGTAGGCAGGGCTGAAGAAAAGGGGGCAGGCAGGGGAGGCCCTTCGTGGAACCAGACCCCAGGCAGCTGCAGCCGAGTAGAAACCTTACCCACCCCGGGCATGGGCAGTGCCAGCCTGGGGGACAGGTGCCCTGGGCCACTCCCGTTCCCCGGAGGTTCCCAGAAGGACCCCTCGCTGGCCTGGGGGCTCCCGGCTGTGTTTTCAGCTGCAGCCTTCGTGGTGAGATGCTCTGAGGATTGTCAAGTGGAAGAGCAGGTTACAGAGGTCCCGAGAGGGTGCGATAACAACACATATCTACACACACAGGGAACAGTGACGGTACCCACACTGAGATGTTAACATGGTTACTGACAGAGGCTGGGATTTCAGGTGTTCACTTATTTGCTTCTCTGTTTTCTGCCTTGAACATTGTAGTTACTGGAAGCAAGGGGGGGAAAAGTCACTCAAAAAAGTAGATAAAAGGCAAACACTTGGGCAAAGTAACATCAAACCCAAACTGCCAGACACACTGCTGGGATCTCAAAGAGGCAGTGACTGGGCAGGTGTGCCAACTTCCAGCTGTGACTCCGATGATGGGAGTGGGGAGGGTAGTTAAGTCACTCAGTTGTGTCTGACTCTGCGACCCCATGGACTGCAACACACCAAGCTTCCCTGTCCTTCACTGTCTCCCAGAGTTTGCTCTAACTCACGTTCATTGAGTCGATGATGCCATCCAACCATCTAGTCCTCTGTTGCCCCCTTCTCCTACTGCCCTCAATCTTTCCAAGCATCAGGGTCTTTTCCAGTGAGTTGGCTCTTTGCATCAGGTGGCCAAAGTATTGGAGCTTCAGCATCAGTCCATCCAATGAATATTTAGGAATAGTCCTTCCAGTCCTTTAGAATTGACTGGTTTGATCGCCTTGCAGTCCAAGGGACTCTCAAGAGTCTTCTCCAATACCACAGTTCTAAAGCATCAGTTCTTCAGTGTTCAGCCTTCTTTACAGTCCAACTCTCATATCCATACACAACTACTGGAAAAACCATAGCTTTAACTAGACGGACCTTTGTCAGCAAAGTGATGTCTCTGCTTTTTAATATGCTGTCTAGGTTTGTCATAGCTTTTCTTTCAAGGAGCAAGTGTCTTAATTTCACGGCTGCAGTCACCATCCACGGTGATTATTGAGCCCAAGAAAATAAAATCTGTCACTGTTTCCATTTTTCTACCATCTGTTTGCCACGAAGTGATGAGACTGCATGCCATGATCTTCATTTTTGAATGCTGAGTTTTAAACTGACTTTTCCACTCTCCTCTTTAACTTTTATCAAGAGGCTGTTTAGTTCCTCTTCACTTTCTGCCATAGGGGTGGTGTCATCTGCTATCTGAAGTTATTGATATTTCTCCCAGCAGTCTTGATTTCAGTTTGTGCTTCTTCCAGCCCAGTGTTTCTCATGATGTGCTCTGCATAGAAGTTAAATAAGCAGGGTGACAATATACAGCCTTGACGTACTTCTTTCCCAGTTTTGTTCCATGTCAGGTTCTAACTGTTGGTTCTTGACCTGCATACAGATTTCTCAGGAGGCAGGTAAGGTGGTCTGGTATTCCCATCTCTTTAAGAATTTTCCACAGTTTGTTGTGATCCACACAATCAAAGGCTTTAGTGTAGTCAGTGAAGCAGAAGTAGATGTTTTTCTGGAATTCCTTTGCTTTTTCTGTGATCCAGCAGATGTTGGCAATTTGATCCCTGATTCCTCTGAGTTTTCTAAATCCAGCTTGTACAATTGGAATTTCTTGGTTTATGTGCTGTTGAAGCCTAGCTTGAAGGATTTTGAGCATTACCTTACTAGCATGTGAAATGAGCTCAATTGTATAGCAGTTTGAACATTCTGTGGCATTGCCCTTCTTTGTGATTGGAATGAAAACACCTTTTCCAGTCCTGTGGCCACTGCTGAGTTTTCCAAATTTGCTGACATACTGAGTATAGCACTTTCAGAGCATCATCTTTCAGGATTTGAAATAGCTTAGCTGGAATTCCATCACCTCTACTAGCTTTGTTCCTAGTGATGCTTCCTAAAGCCCACTTGACTTCACAACCTGGAATGTCTGGTTCTAGGAGGGTGATCACACCATTGTGGTTATCTGGGTCATTGAGACTTTTTTTGAGGAGGGAGGGTAGGAGCATCCACAGTGGGGATGAGCGGGTGCCCGGGGGCCTTGAGGGGTGACGGATACAGAGGGAGCCTGCAGATAAGGAATGGGAGCGTGCTGGGGTGCACGGGTTTGGGTGCAGCTGGAGGCCTGGTCCTGGGAACACAGACCTTACACGACTTTGAGGAACATGCCTTCGGGGACTTTAGGCTGCGTGGGGTGGGGATGGGGTGCGGGTGGAGAGGCGTGTGACCACGTGACTCTGGCCTTGCATCTAGGACGCGGGTCTGAGCCGGGCCGCCTGGGTCCCGGAGCCCCGATGGCCCACGGTCGGGAGTGGAGGCAGAAGGGGAGGAGGAAGCAGCGATTGGGGACTGAGCAAGCGAGGGAGGCCCAGGGACACGAGGTGGGCTGGTGCCCGCCGCCCAGGTAGAACGAGCCCAAGCCCTGGTCACCGTGTCCGGAGATGAGGGTCTCAGCTCCGCCGCCCCACCCTGCGCGGGCCGGGCCCCCGACGGCGCCGAGCTGTCCACGCGGCTGGTCCCCGCGCCCGCAGACCTCGACGTGCGGCGGCGGCGGCGGCGGCAGGGCCGGGGCTCGGCCGCCCTCTGCTGGGAGAAGCGTGAAGTGCAGCCTCAGGTCGGGGCGTGGGGGGTGGTGCCCACCCTCCATGGTCCCATCCAGCCTGCAGTCTGCGCTCCGCGGAGTCGCTGAAAACGCAAACGCGGCAAGACTGGGAACGGGGGTGTAGGCGGGTCTTCGAAGGAATGGCCCTTGTGGTGCCTCGGGGAGAGCGGGAGAGGCTGAGATGTCCAGAGACGGGGACGTTTGTCCAGCATGTGCAGCTTGCTGGGTGCAGGGAGGGCGTGGGAGGCAGAGGAGCAGACGGCCGCCCGGCTCCCCTAGGAGCCAGCGCATCCTGAGATGCGGCCAGTCAGGCCACAAGCCCAGTGGGATGGGGCCAGTAGCACATGGGGCTTTAGGTTATGGGACGCATGTCAGTGCGGAACCTACAGGCCTTGTATCCGTTTCCGGCGTCAGCTTCGGACAGAGGAAATTTACCCTCTCAGAGGAAATTTATTCTGGAGGCCAGAAGTTCAAAATCCAGGTGTCCCGAGGGTCACTTGGCTCCTTCTGAAGGCTTCAGGGGAGAATGTCTCATAGACTCTGGGGTTCCCCGAAATCTTTGGCGTCCTGACTTGTAGAGGCATGGCTCCAGTCTCTGACTTGCCGCCACCCCCTCCCCCACCCAAGCTGGTCACATGGCCATCTTCCCCACATGTCTGTGTCCCTTCTTCTCTCTTATAAGGACACCAGTCATATTTGATTATACCTACAAAGTCTCTGTTTCCAAATAAAGTCATCTTCGTGGGTATGGGGTTAGGACTTGGATATACCTTGGGGGCAGGGGTTGTAGGTGATTCATCCACATGGGGCAAGCATATTGGGGCAGGCAGGAGGGAGCCTGGGCTGCACTGCAGAGGCAGACAGGATGTGGGGAGATCTGATGATCTGATCTAATCTGAAAGGTGCGGCCGGCAGAAGCTGGGCCTGAAGACAGGCTGTGGGAGGTGGGGGCTCTGATTCTAGAAAGGGCATCAGGGCATTTCTGCTTCCCCTCCTGGAAACTGGACTGGAGGACTTTCCGGGGGGGTTGATCAACCTATTTATTTTTAATTGATTGATGATTGCTTTACAATATTGATTTCTGCCAGACATCAACATGAATTAGCCATAGGTGTGTACATGTCCCCTCCCTCCCACCTCCTGCCCATTCCCACGCCTCTAGGTTGTTGCAGAGCCCTGGTTTAAGTTCCCAGTCACACAGAAAATTCACACTGGCGTCTGTTTTCTGTATGGTAGTGTATAGGCTTCCATGCTCCTTCTCAATTCACCTCACCGCCTCCTTCCTCTCCCCCACCCTGGTCCATTAAGTCTGTTCTCTGGGTCTGCATCTCCATTGCTGCCCTGCGAATAGGTTCACAGGCAACACTTTTTTATTCTCGATTCTTTTTTTTTAAAGCTCCACTTTTTATCTAGTTAGAAGAGTAATCAACAGCCACTGGGGGAACAAATCAGACAGTGCTGTAGAGGGTAAAACAGATTTTCAAAATCACAGGAACCTCAGCACCCAGTCAGAACTGCGTGTAAATAGACGCGTATGTTTGCATGTAAATAGTTGTGATGACATTGTTCATGGTGAGACTCATGATTTTGCCTGCACTTTATAAATTTTAGTTTTATAGATTCTTTTTAAGAAGGCTTAGCTCAAACTTTGACCCACAGGATCAGTGTTGCAAGTGGCAGGTGCTTTGCTTATGTGCCGCAGAAGATGAGGACGGTCCCCTCTCACCAGGGCAGCCCAGGTAGGCATGGGGGGAGGCCACAGAGAGGAGGAGACCCAACCAGGACGGATAAGGAAAACCACTGCCGGAAGGAACCTGTGGCTGAGGGAGGGGGTGATATTAATACTTCAAGCGCAAAGGGCCTAGAGAAGACAGGAATGTTTCCTGCTAGCTAAGAATAATCCCCCGATTTCAGATTTGGGTGAGGTACTACTGCACGCAGTCACTACAGGAAGTAACAATGCTTACAAACCAGTTTCCCTTGAAAAGTTCCCAGTTGTGAGCCCAGTATTATAGCAGCCCAGGGTCTTTCACAGAAATAGAAATTTTAGAATTTGTCGGTGCACAAGATGTCTTGTGTTGAATTTATCACAGACTCCAAGTCAGGCCTTCAGACAGTCCAGAAATAAGAAAGCAACAGTGGGAAGATTTCAACGGTATTAATTTTTATAACTTACACCCTGTCGGCTTCTGAAAAGAGTTCGAGGCTGCTTCCAATAAAAGATACGGAAGCACAATAAGGTTGCTAAGATGGAAATAGAAAGCTGGAAACTCATGCAGGTGGAAAAAGGTGATAACATTGCTATGACTCAAGGTTAAACTTAGTGCCGAGCGTCCTGGCAGCTAAAGCAAAGATGGAAACACGCAGCCTGGCAAAAGTTTCATTGTCTGAGTGGAGAAAATAAGGTCCCAGTGGGTGTGTTAGTTCTCGAAGGGACGGACGAGCATCCCCAGCTGTGTTCATTTGGCAGCAGTGACAAGGACCTCCGCAGCCTGAGGGCAGAAGGTGACTTTGGTGCTCGGCTCCAGGAGGGCCTGGCTTGGAGGGGGGCCCACCTGGCCCTGGCCTTTCCCTGGGTCTGTCCTCTCCAGAGAAGCCTGCCCCACAGGTATTCACACCCCTGGGGCTAGTAGGGTGCCAGGTGTCATCTGGTGGTCCACACGCGTGTGCAAGCGAGGCCCTGGCAGTGCAAGGTGGGGCCGGTGCTGAGCGGGGAGCAGGAGCCCCCCTGGGTCAGGCCACGGTCTCTCCTCCACCACCACCCCCCAAGTAAATTGGCGGTGCTCAAAGGTGGGGCTCTTTAATCACCGTCGTGTACCCCAGGACCTACCAGGCACTTAATGATTGTGCTTCACGTGAACGAATGATTGAAAGGAAATGCCAGTTTCAGAATCTCCCAAACTCTGAAAACCCCATGGACACCCCATTGCTTAGAGGTGGTATCCCAGCTCCTCAGGGGTCAGCCAAGGCCTTTTATAAGCAGACTCACTTCCCTCTCGGCCAGGCCTTCCCCAAGTCCGCCTTCCTGTGTCCTCACCCAGCTTGCAGCACCCCCCACCCCCCACCCCTTCCAGGCTGGTCTCCCAGGTCTGTGGGGAAGGACTCGGGTCAGGCTGACATTACTGTGACCTTGTCTCCCTCCCCAGGAAACAGCTTGGGGGCTGAGACGGGTCAGACACGTCCAGGTGCCCACTACCCATCTCTGAACGACTCTCTTGCATCTGTGGGTGGACTGTGTCCCCGGGGGCAGGGAGTGGAGGTGCCCGTCCCACGCCGGCTGCCTGGGCCAGAGCCAAGGTCCTGCCTGGGAAGGGAATCGGTGGTGACGAGAGATGGGGGGAGATGCAGGGTGGGCCTCGGAGGGTGGCTTCCCCGGGCAACAGGTGTTCTTCTGTCGGGTGAAAGCTGAATCGGGGGTGGAACTGTGGCTTTCACAGAAGCCTGAGAAGGTTGTTTAGCAAAGATGCTCTCCTGTGACAGACACCTTTTGTCCCCAGCACCATCCTCAGAGGCAGACACTAACAGGACCGTAGTTCTCAGCTGGTCCTCGAACCAGTGGGGTCAGCGACCCCGGGAACTTGTTAGGAAAGGCAGATTCTTGGCCTGCCCCACACTGGCCATGGACACCCGATCCGGGTGATCCGGGTGCTTCTCATTCGGGGCTGATGGAGGTTTGAGAACCTGGGTGCCCGCAGAGCTCTGCGGGGCAGGAGCCCTCCTTTCCGCACAGAGGTGAATCTGGGGCACCATATCTCCTATCCCCCGCTTAGATGCCTGGTGGTCTGAGCGCTCGGGTGCACTGGGGTGGAGAGGGACCATCCCCCACAACGTCTGGCTCACCAGCAGGTGTGGCCTCCGAAGGCCAGGCCCCAGGGGCCCCATGGGGCCCCCCAAGAGGAGCCTGCGGATGGTGGGGTGCGTGGGGAGCGGGGAGGCAGGGCTCAGGACTAACACAGATGCCCTGGCTGCCTCTGCAGCATGGGCAGGGCGCTCAGGGCTGGATCGCGCCTCAAGCATTTAACCCTCCCAACAGGGACGGGGCGGGTGGGGGGGAGTTCTTCTACCCTCTTTAGAGATGGAGACAGCGGGCCTGCGCGGGCTGTTTGCCCACAGTCATCCCGGCTGTCAGTGGCGGCGGGCCTGGGCTTGGGCTTGAGGCCAGGGGAGCCTGGGAGAGGAGGAGGAAGGGACTCAGACCTCCCCTTCCTGCTCCAAGGGCGATGTGAAGACCCCTGTAAAGTGTATGAGGAGGTTTGCCGTAAAGGCGTTTCAGCTGCAGAGGTGCCCGCTGGCCCGTCGCAGTGCTGCAGAGACGCTCACTCAGAGCCCCCCCAGTGTCTCGGGGCGGGAGCTGACCCCCCAGGCCGGGACGGCCGATCGCAGCTGGGGAAAGGGCGCGGGGCAGAGCTCACGGCCTCGCCAGGGCCGAGGGCACAGGCCGCAGGAGAGCAGGCCGCTGAGGACAGATCGAGCCCTCTTCAGACAGAAGAGAAGGCGCTGGCGGACGTTACAGGTGCCTCACGAGGAGAGGTGACAACCAAGCAGACCCCTGGCCCACAGGTCCTTGTTCCGGGAAAGGAAAGGCTGGGGCTGGCGTGCGGCGCCTGGGAAGCTGCTGAGTCTCCCCGGGAGAACCGGGCTGCTCCGGGGCAGGTCTAGGGCCGGAGCACCCAGAGAAAGAGTCCTCGGAACCCCCAAAACTGGGACCACCCCGCCCCCCCGCCTTGACCACCTTCCAGCCACAAGGTCGGGAGGACTCCCCCGGCTGGAGTGAGTGCTCCTCTGCTTACCAGCGGCATCTTGTTCCTCCAGGAGTCGAGGGAGGACGACCTGGAAGGCCAGGAGCTGGAGAGGGTGTCGGGGCGTCAGAAGACCGAGGCCAAGAGGGAACAAAACGAAGAGGGCCTGGGGGAGGAGAAGGGGGGGTGTGGGGGCCCCGCGGCCGTGGCACTGCCGCCGAACTGGAGGTGCCTCCTCTTTATCGGATGCTCCTGACGTTTCCAGGTGGGTTTTAGGGATGTTTCCTACGGCAGACCAGACACACTTGGGCCCTCAGAGCCCCCCGCCGCCGCCTCTTTTTGTTTGCTTTTGGCTGCACTGGGTCTTCATTGCTTTGCTCAGGCTTTCTCTAGTGGTATGGTTGAACAAATGAATACACGACCAAGATGTGCTGGTCATATATTGTGCTGGTGAATGCTCTTCTCTCATGGAAAAGTGCCCTGTTCTGTAGTGCTGACTGGTATTTGTGATATTAATACTCTCACCATGGCTGATTTCAGCTACCAGTCTGATGTTAATTAAACTTTGGAGTTACACACACCCACCGGCCTCACTCTGCAGGCCAGCTCCAGCAGAGCGCTGATGGGTAATTCCACAACCCAGTTCGTTAAATGTATTGGTTATTGGGCGATTGTATGCAGTGTTTGAAGAGCCTTCGTGTTGTTGATTCAGTAAGCATTTCAACACTAATTTACTTAGGGCTTCCCTGGCGGCTCAGATGGTAAAGAATCTGCCTGCGATGCGGGAGACCTGGGTTTGATCCCTGGGTGGGGAAGATCCCCTGGAGAAGGGCATGGCAACCCACTCCAGCACTCTTGCCTAGAGAATCCCGTGGCCAGAGGAGCCCGGCCATCTACAGTCCACGGGGTCACAAAGAGTCGGACACGACTGAACGACTAAACATAATCTCTAGTTGCAGGGAGCGGGAGCTGCTCTCTAGTTCCTGCATGCGGGCTTTTCCTTGCAGCAACTTCTCTTGTTTCGGAGCATGAGCTCTGGGCGAGCAGGCTCAGTAGTTGGGGCACGTGGGCTTAGTTACTCCGAGGCATGTGGGACCTTCCCGGACCAGGGATCAAACCCGTGTCGCCTGCATTGGCAGGCGGGTTCTTAACCACTGGACCACCAGGAAAGCCTTGCCTGCACTTAGCTTAGGGATGCTGCCACCCAGCCTCGGGCCTGCCTGTCACTGACCACCACTGGATGTGACCGATGACCAGAGCGGGCGGCATAGTTCCTGGGGTACTAAGAGCAGGTGATTTAGAAGTTTGGAGCCACAGAGAATAGTCATTGCACGCGGCCAGGACAGTTCAGGGCCCGTAAGACTGTCAGCCTGTCGTGGATTTGAGAGAACTGTTTTTAATCTCAGTCCTTAAAGCCCAGGCACGGAGTGTGGCATCACACACTGATGCCAAAAGGGCTGATATTAACCTGCCAGCCCGAACTTGTCTAACACGCCCCGCACCTCTGGCACACACAACCCAGGGAGACCAGCTGACCGCGGGTTTGTCAGGCTGGGTAATTAGCGTGTGATGGCCCGCGGCTCAGAACGATTTAGTGACTAGCGTAAAAGTCAGGTGAACTGCCGAAGCTTACATCAGAGGCACAAATTGGGTAGATTAGGGAGAATTATCGGACTTCTTCCCGGGGCATATCAGGTTCACAGGGAGGTGGATGGTGGGTTGGTTACTGTGCCCTTCTTGCTCTCAGGACTCTCAGAACTTCACCTCCAGCTCTGGCTGCAAAATAAAATTCTCCACCCCAGAAAGGAGGAAGGCGCCTTGTTTCTAGACGGCGTTGCCAGCGAACAGGAAGAGTGAGACTTCTAAAGTGAAGTGAGAAATAGCAGGGATCTTTTTTCTTTTGATGTGGCTTGTCTTCAGGGAGAATGCTCCCCAATCACACCTCTGGGTACCTGACCAGGTGCTACCCAGCCAGTCTAGACACGAGGTCACCCCCAGTGACATTTGTGCTTCCAGGCCTTTCTTCCTCTGTCTCTTCCTGCTAGGCAACTCGGAGCTGGTGAAGACATTAGGATCTTGCTTTTTACTTTTTCAACTCTGGACTGTCTTGTCCTAGGACTGGGAGTTGGAAACCCCAGCAAGGGCCCAGGATCCAGTTCAGAAAGTAGTGTTCACCAGTTTCTGAAGTGTTTGTCTTTTCTCGTGTCGGCGGCCGAGTGAATGTGGATGAGAAGGCAGGTGTCCGCTTCTTCTGGAGCTGGATGTGTAGGCCCTGGACTCATGGGCCCCCTTCCGGGTGAGGAAGGCCTCCTCCTCCCCGCTTCTCTCTCTGCTTCTTCCCGGCCTCCCTGTCTTTCCCCCACTTCCTTCCTCTTTGCTTCCTGCCTGTTTTCCCTTCTCCCACTTCCTCCTGCCCTCACTTCCTGTGTTTACTAAGGGCTTAACCCTGAACCTAAAGAAACTCCACAAGGATGAATGCCAGCCTTGCTCTCAGGGAGATAAGGGTCTCTCCAGGGCCTCCCTGACCCTGTGTTGTTTAACTAGCCTTTCCCTCCCTGTTCCTTCGGTAATAACCTGGACTGTTGAGAAGTTGAAGCAGATGCTCTCCTGTGAAGATTCTGGACGCTACCCACAACTCATTATTAGTAGACATATCAGAGATGTCACACCTGGACAGGTCCCATGGGAATCTCTCTGCGCGAGGTACATGCGGAGGCGCAGGGAAAACTGGGCTCTGTTGAGTCAGAGCCCGTCCTGCAGGCGACATGCCACCCGCCTCCAACTCCGGATGAGCCCGGATAAAGCTTGTGGGGTGCTTCCATCTAGACTCACAAAAACACGGCCTTAGGTAATTCATCCTGGTAGCGCAAACACAGGGATCCCGCCTGCCCTGCATTCTCAGCCACCATGGTGGTGCCTGTCTCCTCATTTAGTGTGGAAGAAAAGTCTCCCTTCAAACAGGGAATTGGAAGACTTGGCTAAAGTGCTGTTTTCACAGATACTTTGCTACCATCATTTGTTGTGAGAATCTATGAAAAAGAGAATCGTGGCTGCTGTAAGAGCAAGCTGAGTGAAGGGTTTCCTCACTTATTTTTTGACAAGGTCTGATTCTACCTTTGTATGAGATTTACTACTAGAATTTGGGCTTGCCTAGTGGCTCAGAGGGTAGAGAATCTGCCTGCAAGGCAGGAGATGCGGGTTTGATCCCGGGTCAGGAAGATGCCCGGGAGAAGGAAATGGCTACCCATTCCAGTATTCTTGCCTGGAGGATCCCAGGGACAGAGGAGCCTGGCGGTCCATAGGGTTTTAACTCTTCTTTTTGACAAGGTCTTATTTTTCACTTTGCGTGAGATTTACTACTAGAATTTAAGTTTTTTAACCTCTATCCCAGCTGAAGGGTCTCAAATTAGCTGTGGCCACTGCGACTGAAGGAAGATAGGACAGAGAGGCAAAGGTGGAGGCAGTGATGGTGGCGGTGATGGTCTGTCACTGCTAAGTAGGGTCCAGGAGGTCCAGGTGAGGCTGTCCACCCCTTGGGCTTCACTCAGTGTAGGAAGCAGAGGGAAACAGACCCGATGACAGGGACAGCTGGAGAAGACAACCGATGGTAACAGAAGTAAACACATTCCCACCATCCAGGTTGGCACAGAACGTCAAACCCAAGCTTTTATACTCACTTTTGCCCACGTGTTCTTCTCAGACAGCGGGCCCTCCTGCTGCAGTTCCCGGCAGCGCCCTGGATGCGTCCTCTGGTGTTTTCTGTCAGGCTGCAGACCTACACTCCCCCTCAGCCCCGGGTGTCGGGGCGGCATGAAGATGAATTTTTGGAGTGTTTTCAGGTGAGTGGGTAGAAGGTGTTCTACAAATATGTTAAGTTTCCTCCATCTGCCTGATTTAGGTTCTTAAAAGAGTCTTATTAAAAATGGCTTTTACCCTTCTGTCAAAGAACATTTATACAGAATCTTTTTTTAGTTAAATGATCTTGCCTCACCAAAGGCAAAATGTGTCACCTAGCTTATGTAAAAAATATAAATTAAGGTCCTGAATCACTCCGCTAATACTTGGGCAGAAAAACTGAACTCTGTGTGCATCCTGGTAACTGTTATAATTTTCTCCAAAACTGAGTTATCTGCCCGCAGATGAAATCTGCCAGCAGCCTCACTTGCTGTGTTACATATTAATGTCACCACTGGTTGTGGGAGACGCTGCCTTCCCTTCCAGACTCACAAAAGCACAGCTTTGATAATTAATCCTGATAACACCGACACAGAGACCCAAATACCTGACATAGTACTCCAGTGACTAGGCAGAAAGGAAAAAAAGTCTCATTTGCACGTGGTAAAATACTAAGAAAGTGTGTATTTTGCTGACTTTCATGGGAGAAAACTTGATTTTCATTTCGACTTAAATGTTTGTTTTGAAGGCCATACGGAACCGAACCTGAGAGAGATTAAATTTTGCCCCCAGTGAAATAGCTAAATTCAGTGGATTTTAATTACTTCTATCCCCCTGGGCTTTCCCCACCCTGCTTCATTTCTCAGACGTTCCCCATAGATTGCAAGGATTAATTTGCAAGCCGGGTCCCACACTATCTATGAGACGAAGCAGAATGTACGACAGGCGTGGTGACTGGGGGCCGCCCTTTGACCGAGCGGCTGAGGCGGGTTTTTTCCCAGTGTTGGCGCAGCTGGAATGGGGGTCACCCGCGGTCACGCAACCCTGCGGGGCCCAGGCGGCCGCTCTCTCTGCTGTCGTTAGAATCCGTGTTTCTTATGGAGACCAGCCACTGGGCAGACTGTGAGGTGGGTCCCGTGACCTATTTTTCATTCCCAGTTTGTTCGCAAACCATATTTTCTTGACTCTGAGAATAACAGTAGCTGATGGATATGTCTTTACAAGGCAGCTAGAACTTAACAGAATTATATGTTTTTATTTTTTTAATGCTGGCATGAATCCTGAGGTCTTGGAAGTCGCCCCTCCCTGCCCGCCGTGTTTTTCTATGTTCTACACTGCTTTCTCTAATAGCTCTTTTGGTGCGCAGGGCCTAAATGTAAAGCTTAACGCTCAACCAGGGTAAGCAGCATTCTTAACGGGAGCTGCCTTAATGTTGGCTTGCACATGAAATGGAAATGGCTTGTGTTATCCATCCTTTAAAGAATTTCTAGTGCTCAGCCTCCATGAAATGGATTGCTTATGGGGAGATAATGTCTGTTCTATTCCTTTTTAAGTCTGTGAAAAATGTCATCCTGGTTAATAGGGTGATTAAAACTCTTTATGCTCCAGGAGATAAATGTGATTATGTTTGTCATACTCTACCCAAGATAAAGACAGCAGAGAAGGCAAACTTGAAATTCCATAACATTTCCTCTCTTCCATATCCAGGAACATTCAGAACTCAGTACACAGATGGTACTTCACATAAAGAATAACATTATCTGTTAAACATTTTTCCTTTCCATTAACCAATTTAACAATATGCCTCTGGTATAAATGGAATAGACAAATGACTACATCTTCTGATATCTGAGTTCTGACTGCAGGAAAAAACTACTTTACTCATATTGCTTTTAACTTTCACCTTTGTTACTTTATTTTTTGCTTTGAAAATGCAGCCGGAGCCTCTGTTTGGTACCTGTCCTAGGGAATCTGTCCCCATCAACCTTTCTGTAGCAGGTGATTCATCATCACTTATGGGAGTCCCCTGCCACCCCTCAAGGACAAGAGACGCATATGGAAAGGGCTTTGTAAACATCAGGCAAGTAAACGTTCATTGCTTTAGGCCTCCAGCGCACACCCACCAGCCACCCAGGCTGAGACTCTTTTAACAGGGACAAAACCTGCTCAGTTTTCCTCCCAACTTTGCTTCCTTCATTTCATTCAAACACTAGAGATATTTTGTTGCAGAGATTTAGTTAAGAATGAAAGGTGGGTGAAGAGTTTTTGCTACTTTACATACCCTGATAAATTTCACAGTCCTTTTCAGTCTTGGATTTTAAACAGGTTACATATGAATCCCAGACGCTGATTACACCTGTTTAATTAACAATACCGCAATTTTAACAGGGTAAGATAGTCCAGAGAAAAATGTTAATTATGCATTTGACATTTCATTTAAAACTTTTCCTTAAAACGAAAAGGTTTCATTATAAGAGAGAAATTTCCAATGTACTTTATTAAACTGCTAATTAGAGCCTAAGTAATTATAAAGAAAATACACAATGATATTCAACCAGAGGTTATGTTTCTGGACATACTGACATAGTAAACATACTTTTCTTTAAAAATTTTTAATTCACCTAGAGACTCAATACTCAGGCAGGTACATTCTGGTTAAAAATATTTGTTAAGATAGGTGATAACTGGTCTATTTTAATATTGACAACTGAGATAAAACTACAAACTGTCAGGCAATGTTTAGGGATCTAGAATCAACTTGTCAAAAAAGTACATTTTATACCCATAATATCATTGTTTTTGCATGATTATCCTTTCCATGGATTATTTTTTCAAGGTTATCACAATCTGTTACTGGCTTCTTGTCTAAGAATTTACAGGTTTACAGGGCCTGAAAATGAGGTCGTCAGGCAAATGGCGTACAAACCACAGACCATGTCAGGACCGCAGAGCCGCTGCACTCCCTGACGGACGGGAGTCACTTCCGGGAGCGAGTCCTCCACGTCCTGACAGCCACGTGCTGACAGGCAAGGCTGCTGAAACTTAATTACTTAGACACACAGAGGTATCAGTCTGTTTATAAAGATTTTCCATTAGACATTATTATAATTTTTTTTTTCAGGTAGAAAACTTGGGTTTTTCAACTTTTACAGTCATAAAAGTATTTCCCCTGGGATTTCCTTCACCTAGAGAAGATACCCGTATCATTATTTTTAAACAGTCTTCCTAACTTTTGAAACTTTACGAGCCCTAACCCCCTCCCCTCATGTGAACATAACCAGATCAGCTGTAAAAGAGCAGTGCCCGGTCATGACGGCAGGCTGCTGTGAGAACAGGCAGTGCCGTCCAGCCCAGAGGTCAGTAGCAGCCTGGGTGTTCCTGAGAACGCACTCGAGTCCCTTCGGGGCTGCAGCAGCTCCAAAGCCAGCCTTCCCCGTGGCAATCGTCCAGACTTCATCCACCGTGCTCCTCTCATTTGGATCTCAGTGCTTCCTCCCACTCAACAGCCGACTCAGAGTTCTTGGGAATTGCTGGAAATATTGACTGCATTTTATTTCGAAAGTCTTTCATCTGAAAGGTGAAAAAAAAATCAGTCATCAAATGTTAAAAGATGGGGAAAAGAGCCAAAATTAGATATGGACCCCGTTGCTGGCTGACTGATACATCACTGCTGTGGGTATTGAGCAAAGGAAGACCAACAAAAGGAAGAGACTGTCCTTGCTGCCTTGGAAGACAGTGAGACAGACCTCTTTTCTTCTTCCAAGTATAAGTCTATTGGGCCTTAAATAACATAAAACTCTAAATCTGAAAGGCAACATGCTCTGTATTGTCAACCCTCCATGACATTTATTTCCTACCAGAAGACAGCTTACGTTGTTGGCCTTCATATATAAAGATGCAGCTGAGAATGGGATTTCTATCTAAATGTGAATCTACTAAGGCTAGTCAAACTTAGAAGAATTTGGGGGCCAGAAGGATGGAGTGGGGAGAAGAAACCTAGGGGCTAAATTAAGGAGGAATCAATGAATGGCAGATAAAGTAGAATGTTCTTAGGCACCGACAGTGTTGAAAAATCTGTGTAAAAGTTTTCCCAGCAGACAGTGATTTGGAATCGAGGGCCCGGAGCAGGAGTTTGGAAAATCTTGATGTGCCAGATCAAGTCCACCTCTGTGCACGGCCCCGAGGGTGGGGAACAGTAACTTACAGGAGGTGGATAGTCTTTACCGTAGGTGACAGTAGCTCCACACCAATTCATTCTTTACACCTAGATGGTCCTATTCACACAGCGCTGCAGTCTTCTCATCAACCATTTCCCAACCGGGCTTCCCCGATGGCTAAGCGGCAAAGAATCTGCCTGTGATGCAAGGGACTCTAGTTCGATCCGGGTCAGGAAGATCCCCTGGAGAAGGAAACGGCTACCCACTCCAGTATTCTTGCCTGGGGGACCCCATGGACAGAGAAGCCTGGCGTGCTACAGTCCATGGGGTCACAAAGAATCAGACACAACTGAGCAACAACAACCCAACCACTATTTCTCCATTTTTCTTGAGGATACAGATCTCCTCAGTCAAACCGTGAAGCACCCTGAATTCACAGCAACATGCAAGCCATTTCTTGGAGTGACTGAGAGTCAGATAGTATTTTTTTCCTTAATGTTGATGCTTACTTAATTTCAATCAGAAGCTGAATCCTTGTGTTGTTTCCCAATTCAGGAGGTGCATCCTGTTTGGAACTTGTTAATTTCAGGGCATTTACCCCAGTCACGGTAGCACTGCTGTTAGCACAGACCCTGTTATCAAGTAGACTCTGTTCAAAGCCCAACTCACCTACTTGGGAAGTCTGCTTACTCTCGCTAGGGGGTAGATTTCACGTGTGCAGGATGGAGATAACTACCTGCTTACAGAGCTGAGAGGACTGAGATAACGTACATAAAGCACAGCACCTGGTAGTGCTCAACATACATTAGCTGTTGTCACTACAGCAGCATCAAAATATTATGTTCCAAGAACAAAACTCATGTGGATGTAAATATTACAGTATGCTTGTCAAAAGCATTAATTTACAGTCGCATCATTGTGGTTTAACTATTCTGATAACTGAAGATACATACGGTTATCCATCACAAGAGGTCTGTAGGTCCACGAGCACCCTCAAGGTCTGGGTCCCAGACCCCAGTCTTGATGACAGACACACACGTCCATGGTATTTGTCCCCCAGGCCCTCTCCCATGCAGCTCTCTGGTTTGTACTGTGACGAACCCTGCGTGAGAGGTTTCCAGCTCAAGGCAGTGCTCTGTCCCTGGGGGCTTGTGGCGGGGCACGACTGGAAATGTAGTTCTAAGCAGAAGTTCTCTTAGAGAGTCCTGACAGTCGGGCTGTCACAGTCACAGGGCATCACTGTTGGCATTTGGGGGTAGGGATGCTAAATGTCTAGGATGGCCCACAAAAATAGCAGCTTTGTCTAAAATACCCAAGAGTGCCCCCTGCAGACTTTCTCAGCTGAAAGACACCTCTGGCCAGGATTTGCAACGCACTACTTGGGTCTTTCCCGTCACATCTCTGGTTGAATGTCTGTTACAGCCGAGCCTAACGACAGGGTTTTCTGGTCGGGTACCACCACCAGGACATGAGTAGACTCATCTGCCGTCCCACCTTCTCAGGGAGATAGAAGGAGGTCGGTCGCTGAGAAGGCAGAGGCGGGAACTCAGATGAGGCCTGGGAGGCAGCGTGCAGAATGGCTGCTCTGCTCCAGCGGGGTGGGGGGGTGGGGGTGGGGAGCGGGTTGTGCTCCCATTTCCTTTTTTTGGCCCATTTTTTTCCTTTGCTCTAATTTCCCAAGGATTGTCTACTTGTTCCCAGGGTCAAAAGTGAGTAACTGAACCATTAGAAGGAATCATATCTGAAAAACAGCTAACTAGGAACAGACAGGCTTCCGAGCCAGGTGAAGGGAAGGAAAGAAGTGGGATAAGAGCACCACGTGGCCCTTTATTTACTTACAGCTGAGGAGAAGCCCAGCCAGCACGGCGGAGCAGAGAGACCTGAGCCCACCTCCCAGGAGCACATCAGCGTCACACCTACCTGCGGAACCGCCACTGATGAAAAGACTAGAGCCTGCCAGAGAAGATCTTTCACCACAAAAGACGTGGAAGAGGACCCACAACACGACGAGCGGGAATGGTGGACTGGATACATTAAGTCCCACATCCCCAGGTGGGACCCACAGGATAAATACTCTGCATAGGTTCTCCCAGAGAAGCAAGGGTTCTGGCCCCATGTTAGGTTCCCTAGCCTGGGGGTCCTGCACCGGGAAGGCAAGCTCCTAGGGAATCTGACTTTTGAAGGCCAGTGGGGTTTGCTTTCAGGAGTCCCAGAGGACTGGGGAAATAAGAGATTTCACTCCTAAAGGACAAAATCTCAGAATCTCCCAGACTCCAGGATCCAGGACAAAAGCAGTAATTTGACAGCAGCCTGGGTCAGCCAACCTGCTGGTCTTGGAGTGTCTCCTGGAGAGCTTGCAGGCCACTGCAGTTCAGTGGGGCACAGACACGGGGCTGCTGTTCTCGGGAGCTCCCTCTAGCACTTGACACCGGTGCTAGAGGCGCCAGTGTGGGATCCTCCCTGTGGCTCATCAGTGCCAAGACCTGACCCACTGCTGGGATACCTCAGGCCAAGCGACTAACGGGGCTGGGAAGCAGGCAGGCTACCTTAAGACCTCTGGAGCCCAGTTGCCTCATTTAGACACGGCCCTGTCCACCAGAGGGTCCAGGACCCCGCTCCACCCATCAGTGGGCAGGCACCAGCCCCAGAGCCCCCTGGGCCCAGCCCTGTCCTCCAGGAAGCCTGCCCTAGCCTCCAGGCCGGCCTCGTTCACCAGGGGCAGGCCCCAGACGCAGGAAAACTACAGTCGCACAGCCTGCGGAGCCCGTCTCCCCAGCACCAGGCCACCCCAACTGAGCCAGGAACCATCTCCCCTGCTCCCCCCACCCCTACCAGGGACCCGACACCAGCTCTGAGACCCTCGGCCCTGTAACCAGACTCCAGGGCCGGCTCCGCCTGCCAGTAGTCCGAGCACCGAGTCCAGGCCCTGGTTTCACCCCGCAGTGGGCAGACAACAGCCCCAGAATCTTCTAGACTCTGACTCCACACGCCAGTACTAGCCCCGGGGCCCCCTGAGGTTCTGCAGTCAGCTGCCTCGTGACCCGGCCCAGCGGCTGGCAGCTTCCACAAGGCAAGGTCTAGCAGCCAGCTGGGCCGGAGGCCAACCAAACAGACCCGCAGATCAGTGGGGCAGAATGCAGCCTGAGATACACCCGTGCACTCACGGCCAATCAGTCTGCGACACAGGAGGCAGAAACACATAATGGAGAAAGGACAGCCTCTTCAGTAAGTGTTGCTGGGAAACACTGGACAAGTCAAAGAATGAAACCAGAACATTCTCTAACACCATACACAAAAATGTAGAAATGGGTTAAAGACCCAAATGTTAAGATTGGAAACTATAAAACTCCTAGAGGAAAACATAGGCAGAACATTCTTTGACATAAGTCACAGCAATATATTTTTGGATCTGTCTCCTAAAGCAGAGGAAATGAAAGCAAAAATAAATGAGACCTAATTAAACTTAAAAGGTTTTGTACAACAAAGGAAACCATCAACAAAGTAAAAAGACAACCTACTGGATGGGAGAAGATATTTGCAAATGATATGATTGACGCAGGGTTAATATCCAACAAACATCAACAGCTCATACAGCTCATAATTTAAAAAATCAAACAACCCAATTAAACATGGGCAGATGACATGAATAGACATTTTTTCAGAGAGGACATGCAGATGGCCAACAGGCTCATGAAAAGATGCTCAAGATCCTTGATCATCAGGGAAATTCAAATCCAAACTACACTGAGATAACACCTCACATCTGTCAGAACGGCTGTCTTCAAAAAGAACACAACCAATGTTGGTGGAGAAAAGGGAACACCTGTACACTATTGGTATAATTTGGCAAATTGGTATAGGCACTG